GGCCCAGCGAGGTAGGGCGGATGGCGCTGACAGAAGGCGGCGGGCGCAGGGGTAGCAAAACACGGTTTATTCGAGTCAAAAACGTCAAACATTATTTCTCCACGCCCCTGTTTTACCTCTGTAAAGAGGAACTAACTACAGCACACTTACCTGTGCCAATAAGGCACTTGATCGTGTACTTGTTTTAAATCCTAGGGGGAGGAAGGGTCACACCGACACTTCCTCTCACCTTACACAACTGTAATTACATGTTTAAAAACCACTAGCATCTTCAAATGCTTATTTTAAAAATATGCAGCAGTGAAACAGTAATGATGAGACCCTCAGAAGTCTTGCTGGATGTTCTCCTTGTTAGCTTCCCCGTGCTGTTGCTTGATTTGTGAAATCTCATTTTCTAGCTGCACAATAGTTCGTTCGATCTCATAATTTTTACTGACAAGAGACACCCATCTGTAAGGAAACAAAACAAAAAAGATTTTAAGTGTTATTCAGGTTTTAACACTCCTCCTTTTTAAAAAATCTAAGACAATATAGTTACCAATTCAAAAAAAGTGCTGATACTAAATAAAGCATAAAGCAGTAAATAATTCACTATTTTTCTCATTAGATTTATAATCTCAATTGATACCAATGCTCATTTGGATAACTAAAATAACAAGAAGTATTTTTAGCTCTGTTTTACTTTAGTACATGAAGTTATGAGGAAAACAAAACGCTCAAAACATTGACTTCCAGTATTTAGATAAAGAAGAGTTTAAGAAATAAATTACACAATCTCAAGTACTGAATACACCCTCCTTCTCACCTCTGTTGCTATTTCACTCAACTGTAATAATTTAAGTAGTACTTTAAAACACTCTGTATAGAGCAACAGTATTCCTGCATAAACACCTTAAGGGTGTTAAGGTTAACCTTAAGGGTTAACCTACTGACTTTCTCCAACAAAGAATTTCATGCACAAGATATACTTACAGAAGATATAAAAGAATAATTTTAGATACTCACGTAGATTCCATTTCTCGCAGCTTAGCCCCAGCTGTGAGCTGCATATTCTTTCGTTGCCAGTTCAGATCTTGAATGCTTTTTCTGGGGAAAAAAAGGTTATATGTTCTGTTTGCCTTTTTTTTTTTTTTTCTAATGTAGCTGTTTAGCTACAGAAAGAATTCACATTCCTACCAACTTCAGTGGAAGGCTATAAAGAACAATGACTGACCTCAACTTCTGAAGTTCTTTCTGGGCTTGTTCTATCATGTGAACTAGATGCCTAAGAGCAAAAGAGTAAGTGCAGTATTAGGAATTAGCTCAGGGATAGTACTTAAGTTAACAAAGCAGCAGAACGCCTTACTCGTTGTAAACTTTCCAGGCATTGCAGCCATGCTGGGACATGAGCTCCAGATTCTCGATGCGGACAGCTTGGTGCTCCAGCTGAGCCATTGAGTTGTTGACACACTCCTGCCAGGCTGTGATGTCATTTTTCTGTCCGGAGGAGGGGGCTGGCAGCTCGTACCTGCAACGACCTAGCTCAGCCTGGACCGCAGCAGCCGGGGGCCAGGCCCACGCCTGCCAAAGGGGTGGGACACGGCCTGAGCCCAGGCTCACCTCTTCATGCTAAGCAGCTCCAGCGGCTGCCGGGCAGCCAGACGCTCGAACTCGTTCCGCATAATATCAGTCTGGGGGCACAGGCCAGTGAGGCAGCTGTGGGGCACGAGGGCAACCGGCGCCGCCACTCCTCGCTCCCTCGCTCCCTCGCTCCCTCACCTCAAATGCGCTGTAGTCGTGCGCCGGCAGGTAGCTGAGGTAATTCTTTGTCGGCCGGTAGCGCCGCGTCTCCTCCTCCACCAGTGCCGCGGCCTAACACACACACACACACACGGCGTCAGGGCGCCGCGCGGCGCTGCCCCGTGCCCCGGCCCGGCCCCCGCTCACCGCCTCGCGAACGCCCGGCGCCTCGTAGCCCTGGTCGAAGTAGGGCAACGCGTCCACCACCGCGTCGCCGGCCACCAGCCCCGGGCCCGACATGACGGGCTCCGCGCTGCGCGCGGGCCCCGGCAGGGCGCGGAACGGGCCGGGCCGGCTGGGAGCGCGCGGACGGTAACGAGGAGGCAGAGAGCGGTGGTAGGTGGGGAAGTTGTTACTGAGGAAACGCAGGGCCAGGAGTAGTCCCGCCGCTCCGGTCGCTTCTGAGGAAACCGCATTTGGCTTCCTGAAGAGAAGACACACGGTCCATTAGCACGGGAGGCTGGGGGACAGATTTAAAAATATGTTATTAATATTTTTAATATGCAATATACATGTTATTATTATAATTATGTAAAATTATAAAAAGGTTTTAAAAAAAATTGCAAAGTGCTCGGTATAGGTAAAATAGGTCAAAGAGCATGGGGCAAAGTGTGCACTCTTTTGCCTAGGATTATTTGTTCAATAGCTATAGTTATAATGAAAAACAAAGCTGCCTGTTTTACTGAGACTGCAAAGGATTTTGCTCATTCCCCTTGGCTCAGTCTCTGAAATACTTCCCAAATACTCGAAGGCATGGATCTCAAAAAGGCCTGAAGAAGAAAAATAGCACTCAGCCATTCCCTTAGTATGTGGCACCCCAAAACATTAACAAGGTTATGAAAGGAAAATCGTGCCTGTAGCAGCTGCAGGACTGAGCCTAGGGGAGACAGATATACAAAAATTCCTTGCTTAACAAGATGCATTCTGAGGAGTCATTAGCAGGCATTGTGTGGAAGCTATTGCCATTGTGTTATGCCATGTCAAATTACATTTGTTGGCGCCTTGGCAAAGTAACCTGTCAGGACAGAAGGCTCCTTAACAGTCAAAACGACCCCTGTTCAGCCTGGAGAGGAGAAGGCTGAGAGGGGATCTAATCAGTGTATATAAGTACCTCAAGGGAGGGAGTGCAGAGGACGGTCATGGTCTCTTTTCAGTGGTGGCCACTGATAGGACTAGAGGAAATGGCCGGAAACTGAAACATCAAAAATTCCATAGGAACTTAAGGAAAAATTTCTTAACAGTGAGGGTGACAGAGCACTGGAACAGACTGCCCAGAGAGGTTGTGGAGTCTCCGTCTCTGGAGATCTTCAAAACCCACTTGGATGCAGTCCTGCGCCACGTGCTTTAGGTGTCCCCGCGTGTGCAGGGGGGTTGGACTAGATGATCTCTAGAGGTCCCTTCCAACCCTAAGCATTCTATGATTCTATGATTCTATGTTTTATTTGGAAAAGCACTCACTTTATAAAACTAGAAATGAATATTAAATCTCACCTTTGACCATGCTCTTTCTCAGCTCTCGATCTTGTATGAACCCTGCAAACATCTCTGTTTCCATGAATAAGTGCAGGAAATGATGCACAGTATGTGACATACGAGATTTTTGGAACAACTCCCACTGAAACACACACTCTTCCTTTTTCTGTGACATTTATGTGTAGGGAGTAGTGCAGTCTCCACAAAGAACTGCACAGAAGCTTCAGAGACCAGGGAGTTAAGAGGCATGTCACCTGTGAAAGGTATAGCAGAATAGTCATTTCCCTATACATTCATCATTTTGGACAGTCCTCTTCTGAGGAAGTCACTTCTTGTCAGTCAGGAAGACTGACAAAGCAAGATATGTGCACCACACAAACTACAAGCCATTCTCTTCCTGGTCACCGCAGAAATGCCTGCTGTGGGTAGCTGAGTTCTTCACCCTCCAGTCTGTGGAAGTACAACCGTGCCCGTGCCGCGGGCCCCGGGCTGCTCGGCTTGCTTGGGGCGCACTGGGACAGATGGGGCAGCTCCGCCGGGCCAAGGCGGCCTCGCCGGGTGAGAGCAGCAGCCTGGGCCGTGGAGCAGGGAGCCTGCTGGGGCTGGGCTGCTCCTTGTGCTGGGCGGGACCTGGTTGTTGCTCTCGGGCTTCTTTTAGTTGCTGTCCGCTCTCCAGAAGGTGCATTTAATCTGCTCTAGATTTCCCTGAAGAGGCTTGTGCTGTCGAGTCCTCTTGCTCCTGCAGAGCCCTAGGTACACCTTTCTTTGATTCAGGAGCATTCTTCGAGTGCTTCCTTTTGTGCTCCAGCTCCGTTTGGGCCCTCTAGTCTCTCTAGAAGCCCTTCCTGTGCCTTAGCTCTGCTCTGGAGCGCTGTGTTGCTTCTCCAGCCCTGGCAGCACCTCTCTCATCCTCTCCTGCACATCCATCGCTGGGAAATAGAGTTAATACTCCCCTGGGGAGCTGCCAATTCTGTTCTACCCACTAAATGTCCCCCCCCCCCACACACACACACACTTCTGTCTGCCTCCCGCCGCTCCAACTTGTTCTAGGCGCTGTGCAGCTCGCTGCGTTCCCTTCTGGGAAGAGCTCATGTTACAGAAGCAGCCCCATTCTGGGAGTTGAGGTTGATATCCTGGTATGTCCTGGAGGGAGTCCCATCCCGCTCGAGCGGCTGAAGCACGCGTGGGCTCAAACCCATTATGGCGCCTTGGGATAACGTTCCCTTCCTAGCGATGTCTCCGGACCCTGAATGTTGCTGACCCCAAATGCCAGGGTGGCAGGAGGAATGTAAATAGACCACTCAAGTAGCCAGCAGCCTTGAAATGGGAGTTGTCTGTTACAAACTGGAGCTACAAAAGAAGGGACCATCTGCTCTTCAGCAAAACCTGGAAGAACCACCCCATAACCAGGTGTTCTTGGGAAGAGTGCGCCGTAGGGGTAAGGGGTATTGTGATTGGGGAGGCAGCATGACCATCGACTCGGGCACTAGTGACTCGGGAGTCCCTCCACCTCAAAAGAAAGAGCAGCAGCGCCCGTGTAGGAGGTACGTGGGAAAAGCTAAGTGATGCTGTAGCAGTTACGTTGCAAAACACCCCAGAGAGGCGGAACGTGGCCACGATCACTATGTTGTGAGTCGACTGAGCTGTCTGGGGTGCTAGCTTTGTGGAATCGTCTTTAACTTAAAAGTTACTTTTGCAAGTTTCTCTGATGGGGGAGGACTGGCAAGTAGGAAGATTCGTTTTTCCATGGTTGCGCTGTGGTCGTAGATTACGTCAAGTCCACGACTGCTGAAGTAAGATCTGATCTGAACTGTGACATAGTTTTAGAGAGTTGAATGCTTTACCGTGCTCATTTGGTCTGTTTTTAAAACCCAGTGCATAGTAAGGTTATTGTTTTATGTATCACTTTATTTCTGTCTTATTTGATGTTAATAGCAAGCGTGACCCTTCTTCCTCTTGGTGTCCAGTTCTTTCCGTCACCCCTGTCAATTGGCAAAACAGGTGGGTGTGTTAGAAAGTGAGGGTATGTGAAAGCAGACAGGTCCAGCCTGTCCGTGGTTTGTATTGCGGCTTTGCTCTGTCTTGCTTGAGTCCTGCTGTTGACCTCGCTGCTTGTGCTACTGGAGCAAGTCCCATACTGTGCGGTGCTAGCGTTGGGAGGCATCCATTATCTTTTGCTGGCTTCACTTGCCAGCATCGTGCCCACAGATGGCAGCTTGTTCTGTGCGGCTGGACAAAAGGGGCAGGCTGTTGTCTGTGGCCAGACATCTTTCTGCCAGACTGCATCCAGCCCCCCATATCAGAGGCCAGGAGCCTCAGAGGCCCCTGTAAAGGAGGCTGGGATGCTCCCAGACCACCATAGCGAAGGGTGGGAGGCTCAGAGGCCCCCATAGAGGAGTCCGGGACACTCAGAGACCCCCACAGAGGAGGCTGGGAGGCTCCCTACTCCTGTAGGAGAGGCTCCCAGTCCCCCCATAGCAGGGGCCAGGAGGCCCCCATATGAGAAGGAGGCTCCAGGTCCCCCATAGAGGAGGCCGGGAGCCTCCCAGTCCCCCATATCAGATGCTGAGAGGCGCAGAGGCCCCCGTATGAGAAGCCAGGAGGCTCAGAGGCCCCCATAATGTTGCCTGGAAGGCTCCCAGCTCCCCATATCTGAGCCCAGGCTGCTCCAGGGCCCCCTGTATCAGAGGCCTTGAGGCTCCAGGGCCCCCCATATCGAAGGCCGGGAGGCTCAGAGGCCCCCATAGAGGAGGCCAGGAGGCTCCCAGTCCCCCATATCAGAGTCTGAGAGGCTCAGAGGCCCCCATAATGTTGTCCGGAAGGCTCCCAGCTCCCCATATCTGAGCCCAGGCTGCTCCAGGGCCCCCTGTATCAGAGGCCTTGAGGCTCCAGGGCCCCCCATATCGAAGGCCGGGAGGCTCAGAGGCCCCCATAGAGGAGGCCAGGAGGCTCCCAGACCCCCACAGGAGAGGCTCAGAGACTCCCATATCGGAGACCGGGAGCTGCCAGGGCCCCCCATATTGAAGGCCAAGAGGCTCAGAGGCCCCCATAGAGGAGGCTGGGAGGCTCTAGGGCCCCCATAGCAGAGGCCAGGAGGCTCCAGGGCTCCCCATATTCGAGTCCAGGAGGCCCAGACATCCCCATAGAGAAAAATGGGACACTCAAAGGCCCCTATTTGAGAGGCCAGGAGGCTGAGAGACCGCCATAGTGCAGTCTAGGAGGCTCAGAGATCCCTGTATCAGAGGCTCAGAGGCAGCCTCCTTGCCTCCTGGACTCCACTATTGGGGTCTGGGAGCCTCCCGGCCTCCTCTATGGGGGCCTCTGAGCCTCCTGGCCTTCGATATGGGGGGTCCTGGCGCCTCCCAGTCTCCTCTGTGGGCGTCTCTGAGCTTCTCCTATGGGGATCTGGGACCCTCCCAGCCTCCTCTGTGGAGGTCTCTGAGCCTCCTGGACTACACTATGGGGGTGTCTCAGCTTCCTGGCCTCTCATATCAGGGCCTCTGACTGCTCCAGCCTTCTCTATGGGGGCCTCTGAGCCTCTCCTATGGGGTTAGGGAGCCTCCCAGCCTCCTCTGTGGGGGTGTTCCGGATCGGCTCGGGATTCGGCAATAATCAGCTAGAACGAGGTGACTGCATCAAGCAGTTATTCAGGTGAAAGCAGATTAAAGGAGCCAAGTTTGGATAACTACTCACGAGGTGATACCTGCCGATCTCGACCCGAAGATCCTCTCGAGCTGGCAGACTGGAGAGAGTTGCTGCCCGATTCCCGCGGAGACAGCGCAGGCC